ATTAAGGGGAACTTTGTATGAGATTGTATATCCCGAAAATCTCAAGTTTTCGAAATATTGGCAAATTTACATCTCTCTGTTCCAGAAAATCGCGTATTTTTGAGAACAGTTATCCTCAGTTGGTCATGGCGCTCGCGATTATGTTAGAAACAATCAATGATGGTATTTCATCTTTTATCCCGAAAGACTGCGCTATCATCTTTGCTGAGCCCTTATCAGTCATTTTAATTCAGCAATGACAATAATATGCGTTCCAGATGTTGGGAAAGATGGTAAAATATGTCCCATCTTCAAAAAAGTCTTCTCAGGTCGATGTCATTTATACACATTTTTCTAACGCACTCGATAGGTTTGACCATGGTAAAATTCTCAATAAACTCATTTCTTTTAGCTTGACCAACAACTTCATCATATCTTTGGAGTCCTATCTAATGCACATGGATTCAAATCTGTCGAAATAACAGCATCAGCTGATATCCCTCAAGGATCTGTGCTAGGCCCATTTCTACTTATTATTTTTGTAAATGACGTATGCAGAATGTTACGCATTGATTTTACCTACCTACACCATTAACGGCCAGCTTCTGCAAAAAATGACTGAGTTAAAAAATCTAGGCATAAACTTCGACACGGAATTCACGTTTTCTCACCACTTGAACACTGTTGTCACGAGTGGTTTCAAAACACTAGGTTTCATTATCAGAAACTCCTTTGGCTTTTATCCGGCGCGAGGTGTACCGCATGATACACTTCTTTCTACATTTCGAGTCAATTCCATAGACGAACATCGTATTCACATTTGGACATTTTATTTTTAAACAAGATCTCAATCTCGTCACCAACTTTCAGAATGATGCTCGATGGTCTTGCGTATTGACTGCCCATACCTGCTTGCACGTATTATAATTTGTACGTTCCTAGGCTACCTCTACGTAGTTTCACCACAGAATACTCAACGTTTCACCACGATTCACCTGCGCCAGTCGCTCAAACAAAAAATGTTCTTCTTTTCTCGCCACTGTATGAAATATGTCGTGATTACTTGTCAATTCAGAATAGAATAGATATTTTTTACTGCAAACCAATGAACATCAGAAGGGTGACTCTATTATAATATAAATTTTTTATTGTTGTTGTTTCAACACTGTTTGTAGCGCTGTTCATGAATTTTATTCTCACGGTAGTTTTTTCAGTTCATACACATCGTCACGCAGTGTGTTGGTCATTTTATTTTTCTATACATATTTCTTTCTCTGTTTTGTTTTTTGATACAATTCCCATTCAGATTTTGAACAAAACTTGTTATTCACCCATTTTGTGATAGGCTCGGTGATAGGTCTCGGCTGTTGAATTGGTGTACAGCTAGAATGAAAAAAATAATAATAAATAAGAGTCACAGAGTTTTGCGAGGGCTTCTGTTTATGCGGATATCGAGGTAGCAGATCAAGTATCACATGTTCTTGGGATAAAATTATTACATTCGCCATAAATGATGAATAGATCCAGGAATCTACATTGGAAGAATTCAAATGACCCGGCATATTTGATTACAATGACATTTCTGTGACACTTGATTGTTTCTAACACAACCGCGGGCGCCATGGCGAACTGAGAATAACAACTGAACTCAAGAATACGCGATTATCTGGAACAGAGAGATGTTAATTCACCGATATTTCGAAAACTTTTGAATATAGGAGAATTCCATTTGAAATAATGACATTTAACGATTGTTTTCGAAGTAATTCTGAATCATGATTTCTGATCAACTTGTATTCATTTATTATCAAAATATCAACGAAGCACCTACAAACCAACCCCAATCGAATAATAAGAGATTTCGCTTGCAGTCAAAAACGGTTAGACATATATGTATAGGGCATAAAACATATAATACGCCTATATAATTCTTTATGGGATGTCCTATTTGAAATTTGCAAGCTGATATCAACTTCCGATATAACCGGAATTGCCTCCATCTTTAAATCTTCTGCCAAATTGCTTCGAATAACAGTAGTACGCCACCAAATTTTCGAATCCGCCATATACTTATATAATATATATATACATATATATATATTGATCGATTCAGTTCCCGGATGGACACTCTGTATAACATCCAACAACATAACAACAAGTATTCATTCACAATATCTGTTTATAGACTGATAGTTAAGTTGTTCATTCATTTCTGATCTAAGTATTCAAGTATAGATTATTTATTGCAGCAATAAATTTTTATTTTTGATGTTTCAACTGGATGTGTTTACATATCACGCCTATCACAAGTTTTGGTATATGTATTGACCTATTATTCATTATGCCCAATTATTATAATTAATATATAAACTGTTTTATTGCTCTTCAAGAACTTATTCGATTGCTATATATCATTCAATATTTTTATGCCTATATTTCTGTGTCTTTATATTTCTAATCCAATATAAATCCGTGGTGTTCTTATTCACGAAGTGACCCTGACAGCCTTAGGGAGATATTTCATCTAATATAGAATTCAGTTCATCCGATTTTGGATTGAAAAAATCTCTCTTATTGGGGTAGTATCTGTTCGCAAACAGCAATGTGGTTTCAGAGAAGCAGAATTTGAAAAGAAGTGAATTTATGCTTATTGATTTTGGATAGTCTTGGTAACATCAATTCAGTGCTTGGTATCTCATAACGAGGTGGGAAATGGCAGTGGTTCCTTTGTTTTTGTACTGACATCACTAAATCAGATGATTATAAAAATGTACTTCTGCGTGAATAAATACTCGAAAACTTTCCTTGGTATTCCAATTTGTATAGGAAGAGGAAGCTATTCGCTTGAAAATGCCAGCAACGTGATTTTTTCCGGTTTTTCTCCAGAAAATTCCATCTGACTTATGGTTGTTTCCTTATTTTGGGACATGATTGATTACTTGCACTACTCACAGAATCACGACCAAATTCACCAAATAAAAACAAATTGTCAATTTGAGAAATATTATTTTGATAATATCAGTGTCAGACAGAGTAATTTGGAAGGGTAGATAAACATGAACTCTTCTCTTCCATAAAATAATGGCACCCACTGTATTGTTTACTTCTTTTATTATGTCTTGACCTTGACAGTTCTATTTCATTTCAGAAAGAATTGGATGAAATGGATATATATAAGTATTTTGAATATTCTTGGAGTATTTAAATACTTTTCACAAATATTTGAATACTGTCTGGGTATTTAAATACTTCAGAAGTATTTGAATACTCTACAAATGATTAAATACTCTCGATATATTCAAATACTTTAGGGTATTCAAATACTCTGGAGTATTTATATATTCCCGATATACCTATTCAAATAATTCACCAAAGTATTTGCAAATACTCCATTATCAATAAATTTCAACGGATATTTGTGAGTATAAATAGAATCACCAAAACGAGAAAGTATTTAAATACTTGGTATTCAAATACTCACCAGGATTCAAATACTAGAAATTATTTGTAAGTACATGCCCAGCTCTGGTTATATTGCTATCAGTGTTGATCATAACAATATTGTTGATTTAGCAATTTTATAACAAGATTTGAATAGACTCGACCCGACTATGGCAAAAAGCATTGTTTAGATATGACTTCATGCTATTTCATCAGATTCAAAATTCAAACTCCAACACTAGGGGAATCGTCTTCTTTCTCCTTATACTCAATATTCAAGAAAATAATTTGACCCAAGAATGACAGGTCTTCAACGGAACATAAATTGTATTTGGAATGGGTACAAGGAAATAATACCATTGAGATTACCGTGAAAATATCTGAACACGTACATACTTACCTTCACTCCGAGCTATAATCACAGTAGCCACAGTGTACTTAAAATCAGGCGTAAGGTATATTACGAGGTTTCTTAGGAATATATGCCTATAAAATATTGAACAGCAGAAGATGATCCAAGGTACAGTGCATTGTACTCCACGTTCATGTTTCATTTGATCATGAAGATACCCCTTGTCTTGCTTAGCATATTACAATACGACAAAGTTTCAGCTCTATTATTATTTGAGTTTCAATGAATTATTGATCGCACATCATATCTAATTCGATCTTATAAACAAACATGCTTCCTCACATTTGCCTCTCCATTTAACATTACCATTTCGTTCCGCATTATTTCCGAAAATATTACCCAAAGTATGTGAAATGGAATGCGGGGCGATTCAATTCGGCGCTTTCTTCGACAAATTCAAAACGGCTATGAGCCTCAGGAGGTTGTGAAGAAGTCGCCCAAGCAGTACGTTTTATCAGCGACGAGACATTCTAAACCAACGTCCAATCATTTTCCTCTAGTTTGAGTAATACCACACCAACTTGCATAGATACGAATAAGTCATTCCAAGTCTCTTTCCATCGAATAGACAGTTGCTGACCTGGAATTGGGTAAGGTGGTTATTTATTCATCACCGATATGGGCCTAACAGGATGATTCGCCACACCATTCTGCTGACTGGAGCCTATATTGGGCATTGCAAGAAGCCTACCTTCGTCCGCCCCCATGACAGAAAAGTTGAGAAACAACTATAACAGACGGATGTGTAGGTATGGGGAGAGCAGGGGTTGGCAAAAAATGCCTATGAGGGCCTACTCACCTGGCAGTTGCTTCCCTACAAGAGTACTCTTCCTCTTCCTCCTCCTCCTCCTCCTCCTCCTACGACACCAACTACTACTACTACTAGGATGATTGTCATTCATTGTGGGTGGCAGAGAAATTGTCTATCAAGAATTTTCAATAATCATTAGATCGCAACAATGAATCGTGCAAAACCATCTCCGGTGAAGGCAATGAAACTTTAGGATGAATAACTAGCGTTATGGAATAAAAACGTACATTTTCTACCGAAAATGCGATTTCAGGACAGTTCACGAGACCGATCGCTCACTACTTGCGCTAAGCTCGCTTCCAAGTCTCAGATAATTGGCTGTGAATTGAATTTTATCAAGTAAAATGTTCATTCCAGATGACTGATCTTGTGGACATTCAGATTCTACCGCCCTGGGATCAAAAACTAACAGAGAAAGCATTTGGCGCTACAGGGCGCACTCATCACTAAAGAATATTTCCATGGATGTCTCAATCAAGCGACTTGATATCTTTTCCTGATGGCTTCTCATCCCAGTTCCCCTCTCTTCTCAAATAGCTCATTGTTTTGTTCCAATAGATTATTGTTTATTCTTTGAAAACTGTCTGGTTATGACTCGATCATATCTCTCATATTTACCAGAATTATATTCTGATTTGAGATTGTTGAAAATAACCTCAGAAATTCTTATTCTCTTCTGAGCAATACTCCAGTATTTGATAACAGATTCGACGAAACTGCCTGGAAATGGGTTTTTTTCTTAGTTCAGTTCGGTGGTTTTGGTATTCTACAGGCATCCTTCGTATTATTACCAGCTGTCCTTGCTCTTCATAATAGTAATATTCCTTCAATCATCTCAGCTTTGCCAATAATTTTTCATTCGATCTCTCAGTATTTCTTGAATCACTTTGTATAGACTTCTTCAGGAGTTTCTGTTTTCGAATCATATCACATGTCCAGAGACTGTACATACAAGGTTTTAATTCTTCGATCAAGAATCACAACTTCCAATTTCATTCCATTAATCGTTGAGAAAATCCATCAATTTGAATGAATATTCATAACACGAATATCAGTACTTCAAATTTGGGAATTTGGGAAACGAAGAAATCATCAGGATACAGGCGTTATCTGCTCAAACGGAAAAGTGACGGACATGCACATCATCAAAATTTTACACTCAGTCCAATATCAACAGCTAGTATTCTGAAATCAAAGAAGTTTCATATTGTCACGACCAACTGTCTAGGGATTAGGCTAATAAATTGGTTCGGAGATTCGTGAGTTATTTTACTTTGAAATCAGGGTAACAGCCTTTCACATCAACCCAAAAACTAAAGGGGCAGCTTCTATTTTGACAGAAATATAAATTCCAGAGAATTTCTATCATTTCTGTGTCATTATCATTGAAACATATACGGAGTATTCGAACCCGAAACTTCCGATCTTTTGAAGGAAATTTGTAAGATAATGAAGAAGTCCACCGATGATCGAAAGACCATAAGACAGTGTTGGGTACAATTTTCATTACTGAAAATCTGGATATTTTCTTCACCCAAAAAACTAAAACATCGAAGTGTACATAATTCCTCTTTATTATTCTGATCATGTTGATGATCAAGTAATCTCACTTCAACTTCAGCTGATAACTACTTAGATTCGATATTGAAATGGTTCGAATACTCAACATGAGGAAGGTAATGTGACTCCAAATAGGAGAGCCAGAAGAAGAAATCATAACCGCAAAACTCGTCAGTGTGGAATAATCTGGTTCAAAGGATAACTAGCTGAAACCTGACATAATTCAAAACGTTCTTGAAAGGGCTGATAGAATTCCACTACTGTAACGATAATGAGCCGTACTGTACAAAAAACAGAATACAGATCTCCAAAGTCACTAAGATTTAAGGAGTATTTGTAGCTGGAACGGATGGACAGACATAATATCATTACGATCTACACTAATTATTTCCACTAACAATTTATTTTTACATTGGCTGATAATAATATGTCATGAATCCTTATTCACTATACTCATGACCATATTCATCATGTTATCTTGGAAGCTGCTGAAATTTCTGCATTCCAATTGAAAGTATTATAAACATTTCATGCATATCTGATGGATGAGGTGACATCGACAGCTCACCGAAATATCTCACGGTGAAAATATTTAGTAACAAAATCAGAATGCCGCACCTTTTTATCTAGAGAAATTCTTATTGCCTCCACATTTTTCAACATCTAATACATACCTTTATTCGTCTGGGAATCACATCTTGTTATCCTAATGAGGGCGACAATTTTCTTTTAGAATATGCCCATTTGTACCCCTTTTTTGTTTGTACGAAATCACCTCACACCTCTACCAAATTTTAGTCATTAGGAATAATCTCATTTTAACTATACACTAATGCCTAGTTCGTTGGTCTTGAGAATAACAAAAGTCTTGTACATGCTATATGGAAAAAATGTGAATCAGGATGATTTATTTCTGGGCGAGGTGAGAATGATGAGAAAGGGCGTGAAGTAGCTTTGTTTTCGGTAGGTAGACTTGTTTGGAGGGTATATTATTGAATTTGCCACAGATTTGAAGGATTGATACTAATTTTGTTCGGAAGGTAAGACAATTCGTCGCTGCCATTACGTAGGGGCCTATCTCGGCTGTGGACTCCTGGGATAGAAACAAGTTGATTTAGGCCAACTTACCTATATCCAAAATCGTCTCGTTGAGCTGGTACAAGGCGTTGAAGTTTTTTTGGAAAAAAATAATTTTGCTCATAATAAGAGTAGGCTAAGATCGATTTTCATAATTTTTAGCATGGCATGTTCTGTGACTGTAAGTCACATTTTGAGATGTTTTTGATCATCATTAGTGATACAGTGACCTGCAAGTGAAAAGTAACCATGTTATGTTGAGCCCCGAGCCCCTATATTAGCAATCTCTCCCACACCCAAGGCGTCGACTCACCCATGAGATGCGGAATTGCCAGAATCAAATTTTTGTATTTTATTTCATTTTTGAAAAATACTTGAAAGTTTTTTTGATGTTGATGTTGATTTTAACGTTAATTTCAAAACATTTCATTTCCGGTGCATTTTCGAAATGGTCATGTCTGCCTGTTATACCCTATATTTATTTTTATAAAAGAAAACGACGAAAGCATATAATATTATATAGGGTGTTTCACAGGTAGAGGAGATATTCCAATGGTACATAGCGTCGCCGAGGTGGTTCTGAAGTCTTACAGCTATTTATAACGGAGATACAGGGTAATTTATCGATTTAGTATAATTATTTACTCGTCCATAAATATCAAATTACTACTTTAGATTTCCCACCACCAATTCTCATCGTGACACTTATAAACAAAAAGTTGAAAGTCAAGTTGATGAGTATTATAATTATGAAACCAATTCAAATTATGACTATTTGATATCTACTAGTTGAACAGTCGCTCAAAAAACTTACTTAGATTAGGTACTCCTCGTATTTTGAAGCAGAATGTTGAAATCATGTCAATTCGAGAGGATAACAATTATGAATGAATGCTAGTGCGTAAGATATTTTCTGTTGTTCGTCAGTCTCGAAACAATTCCAACTTATAAACAGGGAGTTGACAAAAATTTCAATTTGGAGAGTATTGAGAATATGCAACATGAGTTTGCTCAAGAAAAAATTACGAATATAATTCAATACCAAATCTGCGACTAGTCTCTAAGTATACGTTGTCTGATTAAATTTTCATGTGAATAACAGAAACTCATTAGAAGTATAATCACCGCAGATGAAAAAAAAAAGAGGGTGTGATTCAATATCATGTCTTAATAATAACGGGCCAACAGTTACCATTTTGGAACTGTTCTGAGATAGACAAACAACGAAGAATATCGTACGCAATAGCATTATTCATTGATAGATTTTATCCTTCTATATTGACACATAATTTCAACATTCTGTTTCAAAATGTTTCCATTAGGATTGGTAGCAGTAAATACGAGAAGTACCTAATCTTAGATAGTTCTTCGAGCGATTATTCAACTAGTAGATATCAAATAATTATAATTACAATTTGGAAAAAAATCTCTGCACTTTGTCTATTAATGAATACAGTGTGTTATTTTTTAAATTCGAACAAATGTTAAAAATGTTTCTGAAGCCGAACCTGGATTTCCATTCCGCCCGATAGGTCAATAAATTCAATGAACCAAGTATAAGCTCGATATCAAACTTGAGGAAATCGATAATTCACCCTGTATATTCGTTATAAAGACTGTATGAATCATCAAATACTGTATTTTCAGTATCACCTCGGCGACTCACATCTACCATTGCAATATTTCCCTTCACCTGTGAAACACCTTGTATACTGAAAAATCAAATCCATCTCAAAAAGTATGAGGTCATGCTACACTGAGGAACAACAGTATATGAACTGAAGTGAAAAAATAATTACAACCTATTCTGATTCATAGTGATCGCAGTTATCCAAATGCCTGAACTTCGAGAAATTGACTACTACTACAAGATCTGATGATTCATCTTGTGGTTTTACAAATACTGTTGTTTCCAATTTGGTTGTTCTATTCATTTGATTGTCTCTGTGAAATTGATATCAATATTCATTAGGTAATTACCCTTCATGTATTGCAAAAAATATTACGAGATTAGCCCAGCAGATATAATAATAATAATAATAATCATTTATTATTTACCATTAACAAAAATATGTGTGTAGGTCTAAACACTAATACAATCATAATAATATGGTAAATGGTGCAATGTTAGGCCAAAAGCCGATTCTTCCACACTGCCCGATATATGGCAAAGGGTCCAATATCAACTTTCGAATTGATGTAATAATGTTTCTATGGATAATCTGAGATATGCTCGATCACTATAATCCCATAATAGTTATTTAAACTTTGAGGTAGTAAATAATAGTTGAATGAAATAGTGACCGTTGAATATGATTTCTGGTGTTGAGTTAGCAGGAATTCGGTCGAAATGTTGAAGAAAATCAATTGTTAAATTGTCAACTTTCAGAAACTTTATTGTTTCATCTTCAGGACAGTGAAGTATGAGAACAAGAACATAAATATCAAAATGGTATTTCAAAAAGAGGGGTTATGATAAAACAAAATGAATTATGTAAAATAACATTCGTTGAAAATAAAACACTTTTAGTACTTTACAAAAACAACATTGATAGGTACTGACGTTTTGGGTGGTTTTCCGGGTTTAAATATGGGAAAATGAATAAAATCGACATGATGAATAAATACGTATAGGTACACAGGTTCATGGAAGACCTTCGTGTATGTGTTAAGGTCTCTCATAAACCTGTGTTAACGTATTTATTCATCATGTCGATTTTATTTATTTCACCATTTTTAAACACAGGAAGCTACCCCAAATGTAAGTTCCTGTCAATGTTGTTTTTGTAAAGTTCTAGAAGTGTTTTATTTTC